ACTGCAACAGGCGAGCAGCAGGACCGCGGAGAGCCAGCTGTCAGTTCAACTGGCCCAGACCAGACCGGAAGATACCAAACCATACCATACAGACTGAAAAGGCAACCTACCCACGAATTGACCAACCAACGCCCCAGGGCGGCCATTTTCGCTTTTCGTTGCTTTCGCTTGAGCTCGGCACATTTCATTGCTGGTTGCCCGTGCGACTAGCCTTAAGCGATTATGATGAGGATGCTGACGATGAGGACGACGACTGAACAGCTGCCAAAGTGTAAATATTGATTTAGCAATCAATTGAAAATATGAATACAATTCCCCGGCAAATGCTTGTATACTCGCACTTATGTACGAGTATGTAAGTTTTTTTTTTTGCTTTTGTACTTGATGGCGCCGATTGTTTCTGTAGCTGTAATTTATTTATGTTGTTGCAATTAGTGGCAGACCAGCGTGGGTAAACATTTGACGGATTGAAATGGGTCGCAAATGAAGCGGCAGAATTGTAAAGTGTTTATGCTACAATATTAATTAGCGTTGAGTGCAGAAAATATCACACCAATCAAAACGAGTGCAGGACATTCTTAGTTATAAATGAAATCCATTGGGTAAAATATTTGTATGTTCGATCATATTATTAATGATAACTATTTTATATATTTACCAATGTTTTCATCATCAATAAATTTGACAGGAAGGAATTAAAATAAATTAATTTTAGTTTAGTCTCGTCAAGTTCAATGTTTGTCTGAATCTTTGAGTCATTACACAGGCTTTATATGTGTGTTGTATTATTATTATTTTTTTTTTTAAGTCTTTAATCTTTAAGATATGTTCTAAATTGGACCATTATTAAACCAGGCTTCTGTCATGATTGTTGTGGCATGATTCGAACCAACTCACCTACCTGGTTAGCTCGTTAGACTAAAATCAATATAAGCACTAAAAGCTGAAGCGAATTTCAAAACCAATTCATTGACATAAGAAATCACACTCAAAAGCCTGAGCCGAACGAAACTTTAACCATAAATTATACTATATTTGACAATAAAGCAGACAAGTATCTGTCTGGCAAGAGGAAACTAGAAAACAGCACTTTTGACCAACCAATCCCAACGTCGGATAAAGGGCATATCCGAAATATAAATACAAGAAATGCTATCACAAATGTATTTGAAATTTCATTTGAATTTTCCGTTGTTTTATCTGAATACTCATATACCACATTGAGGCTCCTTAAGTATCTGACTTATCACTTTTTGTTATGCATAGCTTGGTATATTAACAGACCTCTTTTTATATATAAATGACGAAGAAGTTTTGGCTTACTAAAATATCACCTGTGATTTCCCAACAGTATAGAAATATTTTATACAAAGCTTATGTCGTCATTGGCTTGAATATCACAATTGTAACAAAAGCTTTTTTAAAGCATTGCTGAATTCCTTGCCAGAAAAGAGTGCAAAGCCAATATAGTTGTTAACGACAAATCACACGTGTCAGCTGTCGACACGCCCCTTTTTACACTGTGTCGCCGAAGGGTGAAGAGGGTGTGTTACATTTTTACTAATGACATAATGTTACATACTATACTTGTACTAGTATGTATGAGGTGCCGCATATCCGACTCCGTAAAGTTCACTATAGATTTCTTGATGACGTTCTGGCTTTGGTGAGCTCCTCCCCCCAATGCAGAAATGGCAGATCCTTCATTAAATATAATATGTTTATTTTGCTAATTCCCTCCCCCATCCCTCTCCGGTGTTAGAAACTGTCCACAATTTACACGCAATTAATTTTTATTTTTTTAATAAACAATTGTTCAACATCATTCTTTTTTCCATCATTAAATATAATATGTTTATTTTGCTAATTCCCTCCCCCATCCCTCTCCGGTGTTAGAAACTGTCCACAATTTACACGCAATTAATTTTTATTTTTTTAATAAACAATTGTTCAACATCATTCTTTTTTCTTACGTTTTGCACGCGTATTATAATGGGTTAGTTGCAGGGTATTTCACTGTCGGGGTTTCCACATTCCATCTTCCCTGTTTTATATGAGCGCTCAGCACGGAACATGTACAGTCAGAATTGCTACTGCAGCAACAGTTGCCCCCGTCGTGCGTTCTACGCTTGCGTTGATTAATGTTGATTGATTGATTATTTGCGTTTTGCTGACATGTTGCACGCTTTATTGTCGCCCAACTCGCGGAAAATCATCAATTTCCGCTCGTAAAAAAGTACAACAAGCCAGCCTCTTCCTGCCAGCCTGCCTGCCTTTGTCGTTCGTGTATGAACGCTCATTTTTTGCAGTCAGCCACAACGCATGCCAAGTCCTTTTTCTGCTGCTTCATGAGGCTGTGGCAGCCCCTTTGTGGCAGCCCAGTGGCCTGACAAGTGCAGTAATGAATATTTTTTCTGCACCCTGGCAACATAATTGTGGTTGCGAACATCTTGTCGTCCAATTTTTTAGTCCTCCTTTGGGCGTTTGTGTGTGGTGTAACTGTTGTAACATGGCCTGCCATGTTGCCGCTCGGATTGGCGCCTTTATATAGGACATTGGCTAGCTGCCAAACGGGTTTCCCAGCCTCAATTCTGTGGCTGTGTCCGTGGCAACTTTGGTGGCAGCCGCCTGGCCTGTCAGAACCAAATTGACGCTAAGTGTTGCGACATTAATGCCAAAAATTCGACATGATAATAAAGGGAGCAAAAAGTCAGCAAGGTTTCTGCTCCTTGGCACCGCCTGCAGTGGTGTTGGTGGTTCATTGTGGTTGCCAGGAACCGACACGGGGCAAGGGGGCAAGCGAGGCGTTCGTCTGCTCAGTTTTTGGCCAGCAGTCTCGGCAACATGATTGAATTTTCGTGAATTTTTGCTCGTTAGCGTGCTGCACGAACACGTCATGCCACGAATCGAATAAATGTTTTTTTTAAGGTTTGTTGTCTGTATTGAAGAGTGGCTTGCAACAAGTTGCCTGGATATATATTCATACATGTACGTATATATGAATATATGGCAGTAAGACCGAATTTTCGTTGACTGCTGGCTGTCACACACTTGACGCCGTGTCGCGCGCTTGATTTCGCTTTTTCTTCTTTTTTTTGTTGCTTTGTTTTTCATATTTTGCGATGAGACACGTCTTTGACTGTCATTCCCTATCCATCCACCCACTCATGCCACTTAACACAGCAGGCTTGACATTTTGCGTGACTGACGACAGCCGTGTGGTGCGAATAAATGGAATTGGTGCTCCCGACTAGGCCAAATAGACGGCCTTGCCACACTCCTGATCCGGGTGATTGCCTAAAGGGCAATGTGTTTTTTATTTCTCTTTTTGATTCACTACTTGATGTCTTAATTATAATTGGGGGTTTGGCAGGGTATGCGGTGGCACATTACACTAATATTGCAGTCGAAATGAGTTTATTGATTTTCCGCTAACAAAATTGTTGGCCATGTGCCTACTCTATGATAAGAACGGTGTTTCGCTTTGTCCTTGCCTTGTCTATTGGCGTAAAAATAGATATGTCGCCTTGAATTTGATTATTTGTCGCCCGAAATAGAGGAAGCTTTTTTAATTGCAAATGACCGAAAAAGGCATTCCTTATACTCTGTACGAAATCATTCTTGGCACAATATTATTTAATGTTATAAATTAGATTAGGGAAATAGTTAATGTCCACTAAAAACCAGAGACAAATAATGTTCGAACAATACATTTCTATATATATATATATATGTATATATATATATATATATATATATATATATATATATATATATATATATATATATATATATATATATATATATATATATATCTATATTTATATATTTTGGTCTGTATTACGTATCAAAAAGTCTATACACAGTACAGCTTATTTTGTATTGAGGACTGTAGGTTTTCATTTTGAATGCAGTATCATATCTGTGGAAACAGAGACAAAAATCTTCTCGCTTTACACAAATGCGCATAAAATATCCTTCGAGCGTGCTGTATTTTTAGACACATACTTGTATTTGCTTCAGTTTGAACTTCGGCTCGGCATTTTTCCCTTTTTAGTGCCTGAAGTAAACAACATTTTAAAAGCAGGCAATGAAATTTTTATTTTTCAAATATCCTGCAAATGCATTTGTTCGGCAATGATATTTGTGCACAATGCACCAGCACACACATAAGGTGTGAACATGGTCCCAGTTGCACAACTGCACACCCGTATTTATTGCGTATACGCAGCGTGCTGGATGGGATGACAATTCAATGGTTAAGTGTATACTTGTAAACGATTTTTCGATTTTAAGCCTCAATTCTCTAGCAGCAGTTTGTGCAAACGTGCGCCTTCTATGCTGACTCCCTCGCAGGTGTCTGCCTGCAAATAGCTGAGTACAAAAACAACAAAAATGCCTGTAAACGCTGCAGGACGATGTGCCTGGCACAAACATTTGACACCCAGCCGAGCGTGCCAGTTAAAAAAAAATGGAGAGAGAACACAAGAGAGAGAAAGACTGAAAGCGAGAGAGAGAGAGAGAGAGAGAGAGAGAGAGAGGGAGAGAGTGGGAGAACCACAGGCACACATAAAATTTTTCATGTGCACTTTCGCAAACAAATTAAGATTTATTGCCGTGAAACCGAACCGGGCTTGACCAGCGGGCTCGCCCTGAATGCCCTGCAAGCTGACCATGACAGTTCGAAAGTTCGTGAGTGTGCTCTGGTGGCACATTTTAAATTGACTGTATATTTGGCAGAATGATTTTCTCCTTTTTTTTTTTATATATATATAGCCTCACACTCGAACAATCTTAATGGTTTTTCAATTAAGCTGAAATTGGAAAGCATTCCTGAAGTTGTTGCTACTGTGATTGCCACAGCCACAGACATACTATATTGTGCGGTCTTTGGCGAGTGCTCGACATTCATATCTGTTGCTTACACTTAACATATTCGTTCGCCAACATCTCCTTGCTCACTCACACTGCTATTTCCCCTTCTTCTGTTCAACCCACAGATGGACAATCTGATCTGGATGTGCAATTAGTGGTGCCGAGATATGTGGAGCGCGGCTCCAGTGCTACCTTCAAATGCAGACACAACGTGCGACCGGAAATACTGTTTAAGGTGAGTAATTTGCACAGCTTACGACTGACATTTAAGTGTCACAATAGTTGGTAGTAAATAAATTATATGGCTGGGGTCCTAGTTCTATATTTTCAGCATGAACGCATAAATTATGAAAGCACATTATAAACTTTAAATTGAAAACAAAAATTGCTGCCTGGAACTACCCATAACGAAACTTTGTTCGCCTTGTACTACTTTGTGTGTGGCACAGAGCGCTAAAAAAACTTAGTGCGGAAAAAAATAATAAAAAAAAACACACACACACAAAACGGAAAGTATATCTAAAAAAAATTGTGCAAGTTTTGTCGTCACAACTTTGTGGTAGGCAAACGCGTCCTGGACATTTGCACAGGACTACGAGTGGGAAAGAAATGTGGCAGCGGCAACAACGAAGAGCTATAGCAGTTGGAAAAGACAAAGTTGCGCTGCGTGCCGCTCAAAGCGACAACTGAAGTGGTAGAGCTGGCAAAAGGTGCAATAATGCCGTTTGGACTCGATCCTATCTCCTTCTCTCCCCCCGAGGCCATGGCCACTCATTCTGCATTTGCTGTTGCTTTGACGGTGTGGCGTCACACGGTCGCACCATAAACGTTTGTCACTTCCGCCCTTTCGGTTTCAGTTGCGCCTGCAGACGCGACAATTAATTTCACTTCAGTTTCTTATTACTGTCACGAAACGTCAACAGACACGCACACGCGTGCAGCAAATCAACGCAAATACTACAACACCTACATAGTAGAATTCAAGGGAATTGGCATCCTACTACTGCCCCATCTCCTCGCCAAGTCAACAGGCACGCTACGCCTTTGAATTTATGGCAAATGAGCTGCTCGGTTTTTTTCTACCCAGGGGACTGAGGAAGCTACCTCTTACCTCTTGCCACTCAGTTCTGCATTCTTTTACTTTACTTAGTTTTGAACTTTCTGGTACTTGCCACTGCAAATTGTGGCACTCGAGTGGGCTTACCAAATTCAAGGCCGCTCCCTTTTCCCCATCCAAGTTAGAGCAGACGTTTTGTTTCGTGTAAGTGCCATAAAAAGCGTACAAGTTTTTATGCCGTAGCCGTGGAGTGTTTTAGAGTGTGCACGCAGCGGGAAGGTGGCATTGATTACCCACAGTTGAGGGGGAAGTGGGAAGGACTTGCCGAAATGTGCGCTTCATATGGCAACTGACGAAATAATCCCAACATTTTATTACTTAATGCTTAAATAAACTTAGGAGATGCCACAATTAATTTGTCATTTATACTCAATTAGTACGATTGGAAACATATACCATCAATTAACTAACAATGCTTGATTATAATTCGGGAGTGGATGTGCATGATTAAGCAAAGTTCGAGTATCTAACTGCCTAATAAAATAAAACTCAGCGTTGAGCCGACTTGAGATGGTCATTTCCGGCATGCATTGACATTTAATTTGATTTGTCGCGCATGTACGGGTATATTAGCATCAGAAGCCAGCTTTAGGAGCAAAGCTGCTCATCAAATACAAATTTGAGTCTTCACCAAAGCATCGGTTGGACCCTCTAATTTTTAATGTCCCACCAACGCGGTTGGATCTCTGGTACGCTGATGCCCCCTCCGACAATATTATGTTCTCGAATTTGCAGTAATAGGTGCGCAATTGCCTAAGTAGCTACGGGCGAAATAGTCGATGTGGCTGTGATGGCAATGATAGCTTTGTTTCAAGGCCTTCATCTGGCACTATTTCCAAATACATCGCAGCTGTGCTGAGAAAATCTTTTGTAAGCAATTCAATTTAAAATGTATCTTTTCGTTGCCTTGCGAACTTGTCTTGCGCCATTTAAAATAAGTGTTCCATTTAAAGCACGCGTAACTGTTAATAACTTGTAGCTCAAACGATTAACTGTTCATATTTCTTACCTGTTGACAGATTGGTGGTTATAATCAGGGACCGCAAATAATGATGATTTTGTTTTTTTTTTTAAACGAAAAAATCATTCACTTATAATAACTTTTGGAAAGCGAGGAATTTACTGACATCCTTTTTAAGGATTATCTATGTATTTTCACCATGTTTTATAAATTTTAATTTGTATTCATTCGCTCACAATTTAATGATTAATTTTAAGTTTTACTTTAAAAATTAACCAATAATCATTATTGATGAGCAAAAAAAAAAATAAAACTTATAAACTAATGATTATTCTTTGAGTTTTCTTTTTTTGATCAAAAATGAAACTCAAGCTGAAACTTTGTCTTTTTCATAAGGATTAAGGACAAAATTTATATACATCCTTAATCAGTGAGTCAAGGCGAACATTTTTAAATTAATTAATTTTTAATAAACGAAATAATTAATTTATTAATTAATTATTTTTAAAATCACAGATGCGAATGTATGTTACAGGCAGAATTATATTCAATGCAAGTGAGTGTCGAAAGGGCATTTCCTGACCTTAAATTGGTGTTATCGGGTCTAAGGTGCAACCTTACGTCGGACTCATTGCAAAAACTATTTTTTGTAAAATTAAATAACTAATAGTTAAAGATAATATTTAATGAAATAAAAATAAAATATTAAAAAATTAAATTTTTTTTGTAAATTAAAAAAAATTAATTAATTAAAAATGTTAAAGGATATATATAAATTTTGTCTTTAATTCTTATGAAACAGACAAAATTTTAGCTTGAGTTTCATTTTTGATCAAAAAAAGAAAACTCAAAGAATAATCATTAGTTTATAAGTTTTATTTTTTTTTGCTCATCAATAATGATTATTGGTTAATTTTTAAATTTTTTAATTTTTAATTTTGTCTTTAATTCTTATGAAACAGACAAAATTTCAGCTTGAGTTTCATTTTTGATCAAAAAAAATAAAACTCAAAGAATAATCATTAGCTTATAAGTTTTATTTTTTTTTTGCTCATCAATAATGATTATTGGTTAATTTTTAAAGTAAAACTCAAAATTAATCATTAAATTGTGAACGAATTAATAAAATTAAAAAATAATCATTATTTTGTAATTTTTTTAATAACACTTATAATGATTACAGTCCCTGGTTATAATACATTTTTTTCCATTTGCATATAATTCCATTTTCAGAAACGTGTCTAAGTCATTTCATATCTAGTTATGAATTGTTGTCAATTTATTTTCAAACCTACTATTTTATATAACTTACCAGTCATTATAGCTGCGTGAATATGAAGCTATTGTTGTGGTAGGCGACTTTTTTTTTTTGCAGGTGCAGAGCGACAATTTTTAAATGATGAAATTAATTCAATGCTCAACGTTTTGATAATTCGATTTGAATTTGAATTGTTTTCTATGAATTAAATAAATACATAAGCACTTAAGCAGAATGCTTTGTCAATGACAAAGCGCAGTTGTTTTTAGGCCTTCACTCCCTTAAGATTTTTCTACATACCATAATTTGTTTTCGCGATGCTTTAAAAAGTAGAAACTACAACTAATTAGTTATTATTGTGTTTTAAATTGGTGGTACATTTGTCTATGACAGTTTTAATTCTATTGTGTTGTCATTTGTATTTCGAATGTTTTAAACTTAAATTAAATAAAATCTAAGGGCTTTAAATCCTATTAAGAGTCTGACTAACTATTTGATTATATTAAAATGGGGTGCATTTACTTTCGCATTATAAAAGACTTTTCGTATAATGCGATTGATATCAATGAAAATGAAAATACAAGTACATTCTAGATTCTTTAATTTAATTCGTACAGTGTCCTACAGAGTTCTATAGTTTCCGCCGCCAAATTGTTAATCTTTCTCCATTAATCTAGAATATTTCTTGCTTAACAAGGTGTTATTAAGAGTCAACCAATTTACGCTAATTTGCTTAAAATTGCCTCCTGCATGAAATATCGATCCTTATGAGCATGCAAATTGGTTTAATGTACACCCATTACAAAAAAGCATTCTGTCAGCCTCATTAAGTATGATTTGTCTCACCCTTTTTGGTTGGAATTGTTATTATTGGTAAATTGGACACACACGTAAAGTAGACAATAATTTACAGCCGACATATGTATCTTAACATAGTCATTTTCACCCTTTTTTATTCACTCTATTTATATATGACCTATCGTACTAGTTTAATTTTTTTTTTCAAATTTTGTTTTTCAATATATTGATTTAGTGCCCAAAAATGGAAATCTTGGAACTTCCTATATTAGTTGTGTATTATAGATGAAGATTTGTAAGTACATAATTTTGTACCTTGGCTGACGTTCTATTAGCCGCTTACTGCTGTAAATCTGGTATTATAATTTAAAAAATTAATGTGGGAAAACAAAGCTTTCGAGCACAACACGGTGCCGGCTAATGACCTCCTATTTGCATGTTAATTTCGAAATACGTATATTCTATTCCAAAAAAAAAAAAAAAGTGGACGATGTGATTGCTCGCGCTCCGCTAAATTGTCAACTAACAAATTTAATGCGGCGACGAGTCCAGTCACCCGTCCAAATGACCAATAAGTAGGACATGTGTACAACTAACAAGCAAACAACCTATTCACGAAAACCTTTTTTGCCGACAACATGTAGACTTATTTTATGTTTGGCTTGAAGCAAAACCAGTTGGCTGGATAGTTGGTGGGTTTTTTGTGTTGTTGCTGCCACGCCAGCGAATACTAATTAGTATAATTAACTGTATAGCCAAGCACCGCACTCCTCGGCACAAAACTTCAGTCTCATTGACGGTGGCATCGTCCACTCATTCGAATTGTTGCGCGAAGCGTGGCAAATTGTGTGGAAGTGGCACTAAAAAGGCAATTAAAACGTAAATGCGCATACGGCGCGTCCAACGCCGACAAAAACAAATGGCGGTCGACGCATTCCACTCATTCACTCAGCTGGCCAAATAGCGGCGAACACATATACGAATAGTTAGGCACGAAATGTTGGCATATTAGGCACACCGTGGTCGATAATCCTCCAGCGGCTCGCTCTTAAACCACCATATTTCTCAATACTAGGCGATTCCAGAACTATGCAAATGCATGTGACGGAATCTGTTAAAATGAATAAAGTTTAGAAGAACATAAAAGTCCGTTACGTAGTGACTTAATTAGCGATCAAAAGAGAACTTGTATTGTGAATCGACATAGATGGGAACAAGGAAGCTAAAAATGTGTACTACACAAGTGGAAGGTAATAAGAAGGGCTAACATAATAATAGTATGTACAGAGAGAGAGAGAGAACTGAACATCAAGCCCAAACAAACCTATGACAATTTAAAGATTAATCAAATTGGACTTGCAATTAGCACATAAGTATACATTCACATTGAATAAACTAATTACAGTGGAAGAACGTAATAATGTCCAGAGTACATTAATGAGTGTTTGATTTTCGTTGGGGATGGCAGATACATCAGTAACAGTAACAGTTTGCGGCTGTTTTGGTTGCATGACTCAGAAACAAAAGGGCAAAATGTTCGGGCCAATAAACACAGGAACAACAACAAAGGTAAGCAGGACACGGGCAGCAGTTACGGTAGCAGCAACGCTAGCAGTAAGAGTGATAGTAGTGGCAACATCAGTAGACACGCCAAAGCAAACACATGGCTAGCACATGACCAGGCAACAATAGCAGTCAACTGACACGCCAAAACAAACAATTGGCATCATGGCAGTGCAGACCTCAAACCGCCCATGGAATATTACATGGTGGCTACTTTTTCATTGCTTTGCTCTCCAGAGCACCATTTCATCCAAAACCCGATAAATATATAATATACATACATATGTATGTGTTATTGTGAGAGAGCAGTGTTCGCTGCCCGAAGTTTCACGTCAAATCAAGTGAAATTGTTTGAAACTGCCACAAGTGGCTGATAAATTTTGATGTGTGTCTGACGGTCTTTTGCTTATCAATTGCTTTGTGTGTATTTGTTTATGTTTACATTTTCATTATTATAAGGCATCCTTATAATATTAGGTTATGCTAGTGCGTGTTCCTTATCGATTCAACTGACCGAACATTTGCCTCACATATGAGTCAGTAATGAGCGACATTTTCGCTCAAATAAAATAATACATCACGTATACGCATACATGCAAGTATATGTATGGCTCCACTATCTGACACCGCCAACTTCTCAATAAACAAATTCCACTTATTTACCTGCATATAATCAATGCAAATTGTTTAATGCAATCACAGAAGTTGTGTTGCAGAAAATAAGAACTATTTATATCCATTTAAGCGATGATACAAGTATAATTTGTAGTCAATCAATCAACAAAGCCTGCAATTCATGCAAAAAGGGAAACTGCTATTTTATGAACCAAACATGAGCATTTTTGTTGATCAGGAAAGGTGTCTTGAAACATTACAAATAAACTGAAGCGCACTTATCAAAATTTTCTATGTAACCAAAGCAATGTATCTGTCCCATACTCTTCATGATGTATTAATTAAAGCAAAGTTCGGTTCAGCAGTAATTCAGTTGTTCGGCAGCTTATATCGTATGTATTCTATAGCTTTACATATACAGGCCACAATGTGTGGGTGTGCACATATAATATGCATGGTTGAGCACACACTTGAGATTTGTATCGGGTTGCAGTTCGTGGGCATGCAGTGACGGGCACATTGCGATATTCATAAATGAACAATGTCATAAATCACAGTAAGATGAAAAAGGCGCCCCCATAAATTACCAGCACACAATAAATAAAATATTATCAGCATAAATTAAAGTTCAGCATCCCATACAGCAGCTCCATTTAAAGCCTCCGCAAATTAATTTGCAACATAAATATGAAGGATAAGGCAGCGCATAACAAAACTGCATAAAAATAATAAATAAATGCTGTATGTAATTAAAAATTGTCGACAAGCACTTCCGGCCTGGAGTGTTGTTATGTCTCCTGCCTAGCACTCGTTGGCGTGGCTGCCACTTATTTGTTGCCACGCTGCCGCCTTTTGCCGGATGAAGTCCACATCCCCTCCTCCATTCTCGACTGATGTCATCGGGGTGCCAAAGCTGCTGCTGCTGCTGCAGCTGCTGTTGGCAGCTAGTTGCATGTTGCGCGTAAGTTGTGTGCGCGCAAAACTTGTACATGAAAATTAATTTCAGTTTTCATTATTCATATTCGTCGGTGTACCCTCGTTTTTCATTCCTCTCACACAAACACAAACCGAACCACATACATAAGCCAAGTCCACAACAAGCTTATTTGCCTGGTATTCGAGTTTGAAATTTTGTGTTTTTAATTGCATGGCCAATGCACGCCCCCGTCAGCGGCTATTCAGAGATTAGTTTGAATGCTAGGCCCCTGTCAACGCGTTCGTGTTGTCGACAGCATTTTCCATTTCCATTCAACATTTATTATTTACATTTTATCGCGTATTTTGTATTGTTGCCACAATAAATTGCTTAGGCATTTTGTTCAAATTACCGCAGATCTGCGCCCGCAAACATGCAACGATTTTTATTTCTATAAGTAATCCCCCTGAAATATCAGGTATCAGACTTTGGCATTCGAATATATTCTAATCATTGTTCAAGGTGACGGGTTTTTGGGCTCTTTCGTAACATTTTATTTGTATAGATTGGAAAAAATTACAAATTCTATCGAATATCATGATTGTTGTGAAGAAACAACTGCATTTTACATAAATACTAGCTAATCCAGCCACGTTTACTGTGGCTCAGTAATTAAAGTAGGTTAAATACATTTTTTTTTTTATTATTTTAATTTATTAATATTGGCAATTATCTCTACACTAATTTGTGTACAATATTATTTTGTAACCTGTCTTTTGTCAATATAATTAAATATATTATTAATTATTATTAAATTTATTTATAGAATGTGTTGGCCAAAGGCCTTCAGTAGTTTATTTGTAATCTTGCTATATAAGCGTAGACTCCACATACAACATTCGTTGCCTTAACATATTCCTTACTTTGTCTGAATCTGTTGATTACTCACCTAAAGAAAAAGTTAAAAATAGCCGACTTTGTTTAAATCAGTTTAAAGAATCTCGAAAACGCAATTATTTCTTTGTTAACCAGTTAGGATGTGTGACTTGGTTGCGGAATTGTCATAAAATAATTAATTTGTTATAAAATATTTATAATTTATATTAAGAACTAAAAGAAAGTATTCAAATAAATCAAAACAATAAGTCCTAGAAGGAATGCATTGGGTGGTACGATATGTGTGATTCACGGTTGTCTCCAAATTTATAATAAGTTCTTAGTATTGGACGGGAAATTTTTCGCTTTGAAAATTAAAACACACACCTTTTGCATCTGTAGAAATGAAATGACATATGTATGTATTTTTAATATGGAGAACATTCCCCTATTTGATTTTGTTGACTGCAGCTGGTCTACAGCTGTTCCTTGTATACTTGTAGGCACGAAGGGAGAGTGCGGGGCCACAACAAATCCTCATATTCAATCACTGTCAAAATCAGACGCCATTAGCGGCAGTTGTCAATGACAATTGATTGACTCAGTTGCGAAACCGCGACCTGCTTATGCCGAAATACCCACGCGCCGACTTTTACACAAGCAGACTAATAGACTTAACTGTATGCATATTGTTAACTGTCTGTTGGTTTGTTCAATTACAGGTGACATGGCTGAAAGTCGACAAGGGCAAATTCTTCGAATTCATAAACGGGCGCAATCCGCCATTTCGGAATTTCACCATAGATGGGGCCGAAATCGATGTAAGTGAAATGGAATTGTAACTTGAAACTGTAATATTGGTGTGTCTGCTGAAAGCACAAATAGGCATGACTTTCTATGCCTGTCTGGCTCCATGTCTCTGTTGTACATTTCAGCTAATAAACTTACCTTTAGTCGTAATGTTACGCAAATTAAATGAAATAGGCTTTTACTTGTGAATGCCGCTTATTACATTTAATGCACGCCCGATTTAGATAACAATAGCTTTTAATTCCCTTCTTCTAAAACTAATTTGGTTAATTCTTTTTAAAAATGCCAGTGGGAAAACTCCAATGAAACACAAGTGACTCTGAAGGATGTTCACTTTGATCTATCCGGTCAATTTTACTGCGAAGTTTCAACCGACACGCCTATTTTCACTAAAGCCTCCGCCGACGAGCTGATGAGCGTTTACTGTAAGTACCAGTTATTTATTATAAAACTTTGCCACAAATAGGATTAAAGTATGTCTAAAAAAGTGATATTGAACCGTTAAGGTCGAGTTAACTCTGTAGTCCTTTAATTAAAATAAAATTCTTCCTTCTGTCTGTTCTAGTATTTATAGCCTTCACCCTTGGGCTAAATAACATAAAGCAGGTTATTGTTGGTGTTTGGCGAATGAATCTCTTTACATTTCCGCATCATTGAATGTTTAAATAGTTACTAAAGATTATAGTGCGTAAAAAAGCAATTAAAAGCAATGCAACTACTTTAGGGGGGAATAAGAAAGATACGAATTTGTTAACTCGATGTTTTCAAAGAAGAGTTCAATCGAAGAGAAACTTAGCAAGCGCATTTGTTTGACAACTTACAAGTAGTTAGCATGTAAGAGAAGTGTTCTATAATTTTGTTCTTTTTCCACCTTAATTGTTGTTTAGGTTATTTGTTTCAGTTGTCGAGAAGCTAATTGTCATAATCCGATCTTTACTCTGAATTCCGCAGTGCCCCAGCCCGGACCACCAACAATTAAGTTCCGGAAGCGGATGCCCTTTGCTGTCGGGGAGCGTCTCTTCGCGCTATGCAACACGACACGTGCACGTCCAGCGCCGCATATCACGTGGCTAATCAATGGCAAGAAGGTGCGTATGGGAGTGTTTCGCTAAATGGCGGTATTTTATTACGTAAATATTTGTGTAATTTGTATTTTGGCTACTGATTGGTTAGTTTGGTTTGCCGCTTACGGGTCGGTTGTTGCACCACAAGCAAACGCGCAATCAAATGTTTACGCTTCGCATTTTGCACAAACTGTGGCTGGCGTGCATAAATTACGAGTATTGCTGGGAAATGTTCAATTATACAAGCCGGGCGGTGGTGATCCAATGGCTGCCGTGGGAGAGTGTCGAACTTGTTAAATAACATGTCACTGGTGCTGCATTAAGATTAACGGCAGTTTAAGCCATTTTATAATTATGTAGCGTACATGTGACCGCATGCAGTTTTTATTTTAATTAGCCAAGGGCAAGCGCAGACAGCTGTTGTCGCACACAGCATCCAGCAGCAGCAATAGAAACAGGAGCAACAACAACAACAACACACAGCGGCAGACATTACAACGCCAGTGTATAAAAAGGGAAATGAAATTTAAATAAATTTATTATGGCTGCTGCCACCATGGCGTATGCACAATATGGAAAACTCTAAAATGAAATTTATTCATAAACGCGCCCCTTGGCGGCTGCTGGTGACCAGGACAAGCAGTAAGCACAAATATCTCTGTGCGTATGTGTATTTGTGTGTGTTGTGCTCGTATGTTGTGTACGGCAGTAAGTCCCCAAAGTGCTGTGATCCATTTTTAATGTTCAGCTGCGAACAATTTCACTTTTCGAGCGGAGAAATTAAAAAAGAGTAACGGCCTTAATAACACTCATTATAAGGAGGGTGCAATCTCTTCTGACATTGAAATGACTTTGTGTGTAGTGTTTATTGTAATTGCCACGACACGTTTTTTATGACTACGCCCCCAAATAATGAACTAACCTTCTCTCTCACGACTACAGGTGGAGGAGAAGTACGTACGCACGCATCATGTCTACTCATTCAATGGCAAGAGCCAGCGACGCACGCAGCAGCAGCAACAACACCCGCAGCTGACTCAGCAACAGTTGCAGCAGCAGTACTATCAGCAGTACTACAATCAGTATCAGGCTCAGTTCCATGTGCCACACTTCATCGATCGATATGACAAGAGTCTGCGTTGGGGCGGTGCACGTCCAGGCGGTGAGCATTGTTGTTATTATTTCCATTAGAGCTCAATGTGTCTTTGTGGCCCTTTGGCCAGAAGCATAATTGAATTCGGCGAACTAGTTCATTAAGATACAATAGGTACTGCTACTGAACTGTTTGGATTAAAATATGGACACAAATCAATCCATAAACGGGTGTCAACTTTTGAGTGAAGAAACAAATTATAGCATCAAGCTCAAATTTGCATTAATTTCATTTTTAAAGTGAATATTCAAATAAAAATAACTAATCTATAATCAAGACTTACTTTTTCTACCTTGAAAATGTAGGAGTATTTATTTAATAAATTTAAATTGTTTTTAAATAGAGTGAAAAGCGCAAAAAGTTAAAACTTTTCTTACATAAAAAAAAAAAAAACAATTTAATTAATTAGTGCAGGAACCAGTCGCTGAGCACACAGTTTATGAGTAGCAAGCATAGAGACGTGAAACTGTAAGTAAATGGAGAATGGTTGTTGGCGCCACAAGTAAAAGTGCCTTTTGTTCGCTTTTTAATAAATAAACAACATTCATAAATGGGACTTGGGGACGTCGAACGTGCCGCATTCCCGCTTTTGCCATTGTGTACACGTAGATATTCCATTAATTTTATGGAGGAAGCCGAGCCACTCACTTGGCTTGGACTTAGACCAAGTGCTGACAGCACAGGACAATTGTGTAATTGTTTGAATTTGACGTTGACGTAGAGATAAGGTGGGGCAGGGTAGGGCTGGGTATTGGCAGTGATTTCAGCACAGCTGCTGTAACATTTACTTTAATTAGCTTTATTGTTACTGACGACTCTGTGTTTGACTGGATCTTTTGCTCACTGCAGATGATTTCTCGCATTTTGCGCCGCATCATGGCCACGATGGACATGGACATCATGGGGGCGGCGCAAGTGTCTACAACAATCCGTTCAGCTCGCTGGCAAACTACCACGATTTGGGAGAAGTGCATGAAATACATCAGCGTAATTACGACAGTAAAAAGGCGCATTTGGAGATGAAGAAACAGTTGGAGATGAAAAAGCACAGGTGAGTTTTAAATTTGATTTGTACAAAAATCTAGTCAGGGTAGACTCACGAACTAAGTTCAGTTAATTACTTAGATTTCAAAACTATTGTCTGCTTTTTATGTGATTGATGCTCAAAATATGTGGCATACTAAGTATGCTTTAATATGTAATAAATATAGTTGCTTTACTCGTAGATTAAATAGTTTAAATTGAAATGAGCAATAGTTAGAATTAAATACGAGCTGAGATGTCATTTGAGTCTGCGATGCTGTATAGTATACCCTTTACTGAGCCTTACAATAACATTATTGCTTAATGGTCGTGGACTGATAACTATATAATCTACTATGTGCCATACAAAAACTCGTATGATAAGCATGAAAAGATGAATGCAAAACGAAATTTCCATTTGTCAGATAATGTGATGGTAATATGTCTTATCTTTATTCCATTTTTTTCTTTGGGACACCATTAGTCCACTTACTTTTGAGGGCATTAGTAAATATTATAAGGCAAGACAAATAAGCGAGAGCAACAATCTCTGCATTTTCTTTACCCTCGCACAATTCCACTAATTGATGTTGGTTATATTCCCTCTGTGGCTTTCCTGTATCTCAACATCCGCTCAGTATCTCCTTCTGGTTGCTCTGTTTGAATGCTGGGACCAAATAATTAGTAAGCCAGGTAGCTCAATGAGTAAGCCCAGGCGGTTGGACTTTTGGTCTGCAATCTATTGTTGCTACTTGCCGCAAAACTTTTCATATTCTTATCAATTTCCCTGGGTTGCGTGTGTGGCGTGTTTATTAAAGTTTTCTTATCTGTGGTCTAAAAGGATTTGGTCATGCTTGTTAGCTGCCAGCCCTATTGCCACAGGGCTCAACAACTTGGCTGTTTCAGTTTCTGTTGTCGGCTCCTAGAGTTCGCCTTTTGTTCTGTTTTATTTGAATTGTGGCAACGCATAAATAAATTTTTTTTACCACCACACTCACACTTATGCTGAGCTATACGTTAAAATCTTATCGTGCATAGTAGTATGTGTGCGCGCTTGTGTTATGGCTTTAGTTACTCGGCGCGATTGGAAGTGAAACGTAAATGAATGCTATAAATTATTTACGCTCACCTGTGATATTAAAAATCAACCAGAAACTTTTCCAATATAGCAACTTTTGGGCTAACTTTGAATGCTATGAACACACGTAGCTTTCACGGGCGTACAGTGTACGTGGGTGTGTGTGGAAGTGTATGAGTGTGTATGTCTTGGCTTACTTGAGTTGGCGCTTATTCAACACACACAAACACATAAACATACACATATATGTGCTCATATATGCCAAGCTGACTGACACAATTTAATGAAAGCCAAGCGCTCCGTGTGGAAGTTTCGCATTTTGAGCTGCCCTTTGAAGTTCTATAGCTCCGTGCACATGCAACACCCACACACACACACCCACACAAGTACTTACGGATACAGAACTTGTATACATACAACCGACACGTTGTCCGTTGTCGGTGGTGTGAAATAGTTGTGGGCTATGCTACTAACCGCAAACGCAAAATGGTTTGGCAAGTGTGGCTAAACAATAAAACAACATTTGTTACTTCAACTCAGGGTCTTACACTCCGCTGCAAAGAATCGTAGCCAGCAGCGTTTAAAAGCAACCACACCGCACTTAAGCCCTTAAAGCATTTCACTAAAGTTCAATAGTTGATGGACAGCTGTTTATAACCTGTACATATAAGCTGCCACAAAAATTTATGAAGTATTAAGTTCTTGAAATACAAGTACAACAAACTATTATAATAACGTTTTATGACAGCTTTATATTTTCCAGAAAACCGAGCTACGTGTCATAAGTAGCTGAAAAGGACGGTTTTATTTACAGTCCAATCTGTCACATTTTGAAATTTAAAATTTGTACGGCCTGTTTGTATATACAATTTATGGGTGCATATGGGTGTTATGCATATATTCTGCCTGCCTGCCATCCAAAGTTTTAAGTGGCGATGCTTATGAATAACCAGGCAGAATAGCTGCTGCCTGCCATATCAACTCAGTTTACGGCACTAACAAAGTTTCGCTGTTATTCCAATCTTGGTTCTATAATTTGAAGTAGTAGAGAGTGCTGGAGAGTGCTGGATGGCAATGAAGGGCATAGTATATGTTTGTGTAAGCGTAAGCAGTAAGCCAACTTAGCTAATAATCTATAAAGCAAAAAGCCATAATTTACACATGTGCCATTTCCGCGACTAATCAGCGCCAAGCAAATGAATGCGTATTTGTGCATGCTAATTGCATTTGTCGACTGCAAAAGGATTTTCCTAAATAAATTGCCACAATTTCAAAGCAAATCTTCTAATGTACTTACACGTTTCTACATATATTTGTTTCTGTGTGCAAAACTAATTTTGCTGAAAACTTAACTGTAATATATAATAATTTATATTCAAAATGCACGCCGCAGTGCTGCAGCTGCTGCAACCATATCAAGTTACCCAGCCTGCCACGGGGCAAGAACTGCATGGCACAGGATGGCGATGGGGATGGCGATGGGCCAGGGGCACTGGAGTTGCCACAGTTACCTTGAAACTATTTTCCAACAGCTCTGCTGTGTTTGTTTTTGCATCATGCACGCAGCCGGCTTAAATCAAAGAGGTGGTTGCGAAGAGGGAGGCAGAAAGGCAAAGTGTGTGTGATGGAGCATGTGGGCGTAATTGCGGTACCATGCCATGCCTTTGCATTGTTGCAATGCTGGTGCTATTAAAATTTTACAACGTTCGTTGCCATAAAAATATGTGATAAGCGATGCATATTTATACATACGGGTTGCCTGATGTAAAATAAATACCTTTTAAACGCACAAGTGAACGCCACACTCGGAGAAATGACAAGAAGGAAGACTTAAAATAATGAAAGCTTTCTTAAAAAATAATTATAATTTTGTATAAATCATTTGATAAATGGAGCGCTTTTCAAACGCTGTACAGTTCGTAGGAGAAAGAATGAGATCAAAGACTTTAAGTAATTTCCAAAATTAGTTACATACTTGTATTTCTTCCAACACCAGAAGAAAGCAATTTGGCAGACCTAATACAAGTTTTAATCATCTGAATAGACTTTGTTTCATTTGGAAATTCACAATAATTCGAAGTTCTACAATCCAGTTTAGTTTGCAATTATTTTTATTCATTAAAAATTGGTATATCTCATATAGCTGTCTTAATATAATTTATAGTGACTAATAAACACTTTTTGTTGCCAAAATAGGTTTACTTCTTAAACAATTGGAAAACAATTTATCGCGAAATGCTGAAGGAAAATTCAATGGAAGAGAAATAGGGTTTTGATTGTAAGATAAAGAGAATACGAAGATAGCTAGGGCATTAGTGTTTTAGATAGTTAGAATTTACTTTAAATCTCTGAGTAATTACTTAAGATATAAATGAGTTGGGTTTCCTTTGTAGAAAGCGCTATTTTAAAGCGCTCTTAGGTAGCAAGGTAAATATGGCAAACACAAAAACAGACACAATTGGAAAGTATTTGCTCTATCATTTTTGCATCCAATTTCATCCCTTTATGCTTAAAACGCTTTAAATTTTTTATTCTTAAAAATATCATCGTTTTATGAATTACCAATCAGTTGGTTTACAATCGAAAACAAAAACAAAAAATATACTCAGTTGTAGTTGTACTTAGGGCATAAATAGAAAACTCGCAATTTTTACAATTCCTGAAAATTGTTGACGAACTTACCAAGTTACAGTTAAAAGGTATAATGAGGGATATAATGGCATTGGCGTGAAAAATGGTGCTTAGCTCGTTTGGTTTCTTTTATTTCATTTCAAATTGCAGCTTTCTGGAAGATCTAATTATAAGAAGATGTCAAACTGAAACCAATAATTTCTCTGAGTGAATGTGGAAGTATATTTGCGGGTGACTGCATAAATTTCAAGAGTATGTGTCTGTCTGCTCATTTTGCCCTGTTTGCTCTAGTCTGGCCTGAACTGTCACAGTGTGCGTCAGTGCTAAACAAACTTTGTGTGTGTATTAAGCTCATATGTATATGGAGGTTTACGTGTATATGAGGGGACTTTATGAACGGGTGCGTGTGTGCCTCCATGTGTGTGCTGGGCAAGTTATGCAAAATATGTTATTTTGTGCATTTGCATATAGGCATGAATAGCATGTGACCTTGTCGCAGTACTAGCTTTGGGGCTAAATGAGTGACAGCCAGATGAGTACCGGCAAGCGGTTCATTAAATATGTATGTATTGAAAATACATCGCCTGTGCATTAACTATGCATAGTAATTAAACGGTTAATTTGATTACAGCTCAACTGACAGACGAGTGGCGAAACACTTACTAACAAGCACTAAGCACTTAGTTCTTGTGTTTGTGATTGTGCGCTCGCTCTAATGAGCCATCAACTGCGTCAACAACAGTTGGAATGCTGAAAAGGAGGAGGAGCTGCTCACTGCATAATGCAACAGCAGCAGCCATTTTGTGCCGTGTTATTAAGCAGACTGCAACAATTTGTTAAGTTTTTTGTTTTTTTTTTTGCTGTGGCCGCTTTAAGCGACTTTATGAATGCAACATAAAACAACTGCTGGATGCGCCGTAAAAACAACGGCAACGGCAACAAAACGACATAAAAAACGAGGGGCAGCAACAAGAGCAAAACGGTTGTAAAGGCATAACACGTACCACCGAATGAACACTTACTCACGGCTCAGGGTAGACCATGGGGTTTGAAGGGGCGAGGAGGGATAGTGGCAGTAGGCAAGCCTGGGTAAGGACAGGAGCGCATGAGAATGGCGCGTTTGATGCAGTCAAAAAGCAGTTTACACGTTGTTGCACAATTTATATTTGTGCAACACGTAAGGCCTTTATGCCATGCAACATACAGTCTCGGCGCACACTGCAGCTTAGACAACCTGAAACCAGAAACATACAAATTTACACGACCATGTCTATGGGCTTTGAATTCAGCACTGCTACCTGACTCTCCACACAACTTATTCTTCCCACAATTTTTTCTGTGAAAAATAAGTGCTCATGCACTCAGGGGAAAAAGATTCTTAAACTTTACGATGCGAGAAAAATAATGCGCTCTCAGCACCGTGCAGGAACTAAGAGTAATATTTCATTTTTTTGGGTCCACTAACCTCTGCCCGAAAATGTTATCAGTTCTAGAAACACTCATTTCAGTATTTAGCTTATTGGTGGTCTATAATTTTATTTTTATTGAATAAAAACTTATGAGCTAGCCATTAATTTCTGCCAGTATACAAAAAGTCCAGGAGAGAACATTCAACGACGAACTCAAACAATATAGATTTTCTACACATTTGCATAGCAATTGTCTAATACTTTAAAAGTTCGTTACATCAGCAGCTATCAAGGTGTAATTAGAGTGTGATTTCTGTAAATTGAATCTGACTCAATCTAAGACTAATAGTTCGAAATTACTTATGGTGATAAACCGAATCGTTCAACACGTTAGTGCATTGTCACAAAAAGAAATGGATAAACCCAACTTGTGCTACGGAATATTGTTTTTATCTCAGCGAAATAGCAGAAAACAGTTCAAACTTACGACAATCATTAGTTAGCAGCAAATAATTAATATTTTAATATAATATATCCTAATCAGTGGTTAATTGAAGCAATATTCTATTTACCGTAATAAGTTGGCCTCCAAAAGAACTTCCCTGCAGCTACGTACTAAGTAGTTACATTTTTTATACCCTGTACCCAAAGGGTAAAAGGGTATACTAGTTTTGTGTGAATGTATGTAACAGGCAGAAAGATGCATGGCAGAACCCCACAAAGTATATATATTTTTGATCAGGTTGACAAAACGAATCGATATAGCCATGTCCGTCTGTATGACTGCAAGGATCTCAGAAGGCACAAGAGCTAGAGTTACCAAACTTCGTGTCCAGGTTTCCGTAAGTCCTAAGCAGGTCATGTTTATTTTTTTTATTCTGATACCCAACCACCCCACTGCTATTTTTAAATTTTGACAGAAGTTTCTTTATAGTTTCAATCATATTTTTTCAATACGCAAAGGCTGCTCAATTTATATATTGCTCTGATCTTAATACAATAAGTTACCTAAGTTACATAAGCAATAAGTTTGTGAGCCGAACAGGATAAACTGATTTTTTATTTTAATATTTAAATGTGGGACCAACTACTATATCAGAAATATATTTTCAAAATATTTACTTCTTTGAACATTTAAGATACACTACATGTATAGCCTGAATATTTAAAGAGTATATAGTTTTTACTTACCATTTACTTGTTGTTGGGTAACTTTGCTATTTTGTGAAACAAACAGGGGAAGCACACAAGCTTTTCAATACCTAGTATACACATATATTTATACCTGTATTTTTTTGCACATTTGCGTGCTGCTATGCAAAAGGCCAACAAATGGCAAGTCAGCTTAATGACGGCAAATCGTTGGCCGCCCTCGCCTGTTTTGTTGTTGTTCTTGTTGTTAATGTTTTTGTTATTGTTGTAGTTTTTGTTATTGTTGCGCTGCCCTTGTACAGGTATTTTAACCCACTTTTGCAGCTCAAGTTTTTCCTTTGCTTGGGGCAGGTCGGCAAACAGCGAAGGAGACGCGCAACATTAAATGCAGCTTGTAATTTTCATTTAATTTGTGGTGTGGGTTACATTTTCATTGTTGCCTTGTTTTACTTGGACTTTTTCGGCGGTGACGGTGGTGGCGGTTCTGGGCAGAAACAGATTGCCTGACTGACTTGACCCTCAAAAAAGGGCAGCCATTAAATGAGGCGACTTTGGCAAGGCGCTTAAAGTGAAAGAAATTGGGTGGAAAAGTGATGTCCACTGCCTGGCTGCGCATTGCTGGCCAGCATTGAAGGTGCTGCCTGGGGCGCCATAATTAGCTGCCTGTGTTGTTGATCGCGTGTGTGCCGGTAATCCTTTTAGAGCCCCGTCATGGAGCGGGAGGCGGGGCACTGCTGTGTGGAACAGTAGCAGATGCAGACGTTGTGCGAGCAGCCATAAAGTGAGCCACTAATTGTAAGCTGCAAAGCTTGAATTGAGGGAATAGGAATACTACTGTAGTAGTAGTAGTATAAGGGGGCAGTGCTGTGGAAACCGGAGCAGCAACAGAAACAGCAGCAGTCACTTTATTTTTACGGCGACTTTTAAATGTGGCCAATGCCAGTGCGCGTTTGGCTTTAATTGCAGGTAGCAGCTTAAGTGCTGCCTGCCTGATAACAGGGTTGCGACACACGCCTCAAGTGACTTGCCTCATTAATCAGAAACACAACAACAACAACACCAACAATAATTATTACACAAACAACAGAGATAAAAGTCCAGTTTCATTAAAATTAAATTTCTTATTTACAACAATGTTAACAAACACTAGTCAACACAATTTGGCTAATTACATAAACAACTGCCTTAATAAATGCAGCCATATATGTATATGTAGACAACGTTCTACATGTCCTTGAAGGCAATTACAGTTATGCCTCTATTAAATTAATTAGAGTCCTACTTATTAGACAGCCCTTTATTTGACCTTCTGCACGGGTAAATAGGTGGCCTGGGGCGTGTCTGGTGGTGGTGGTGGTATATAAGCCGCTGACGCCTCCAGCTCACCAGCAACACCAGTAGAGCTGATTCTGCCGTCGGTGGCACTCAAGGAGAAGGGTGCAGATTGTAGGAATTGTTGATGCTGTTGTTGTTGTCGTGGCTGCTGCACCTGCTTCGAAGTGAAATCAAGCACGGGCGCAATGCCGCCATTGTGGGATTGTGAGGAGCCACCCAGGCGGTCGTATTCTTGCTGAATAGTGCGCTGAGCGTTAATCGCATCCTGGGGCGTGCGATACTTGACGAAATGCACCTCCGGCTTGCTGGCACTCACATGATTGAGATTCTGCAGCTTATTGGCCAGACTGGAGAGGTCACCTTGCTTAGTGAGCACATAGATAGCCGTTTGCTGCTCAGATGCTTGCTTGGCCAGTGCGAGTGCGGCATTCTCTAGACCCTTGTTTTCGGGCGAACGGATGAAGACAACACGCAGATTCTTCTTCAGTGAAGCAGCCAAGTCACCAACACTCTTGGTGTCCTCAAAATCGGCTTCTGGTGCGCTGTAGGTGAAAAATTCTTTGTTGAACTCCGTATCGATTGGCGCATATTCGCCACTACTGGAGGAGTCCAGTGAGCCACCGCTACTCCCACTAGACAGAGTGTCACCAGAGAGTGAGTCACTGGAAAGGGATCCACCAGATAGAGAACTACCTCCTATATTTCCGCTGCTTGTACCGGCTGCATAATTGTAGCCGCCCACATCTGCTTGCGCAGCAGCAAGCAAAGAAAGAACCTTTAACAAAATACAAAAATGATTAAAAATAAAAATCTCCCGAAATGAAGATAATATATTCCAGCAAGGATGACACCTCTTGGTATTGCGACCTATCCATGGTCTCAGACTCCACAAATACAAAATATAGTAGAATGTGGTATTAGTCAAGTTAACGAATTGATAAGGCGTTTAATGGTGGATTTTAAAAAACACGCCGGTCATGCACATTGTTAAATCCTCACTTACAATTAAAGCATGCATTTTGGCTTCCTGTTATTGTTGTTGTTGCTGCTGATGTCGCTGCCTGTCTGAGGTGTCGGCAGTTGTCGCCTTGTGGTCACGCCTTGAGCTATTAAACGGGTATGTTATTGCTGGGCCGAGCCATGACTGTTTTTATAGGCACGGCCCTCAAACAGCTCCGAGCTGAAAACAACGGGCTGAACGAACAACTCTCTGCACATTGCGCTGGTCGTGTCGCTGTCGGTTCGTTGGCAAGTGACGCAAAACCGCAAAAACCGGCAACTGTATCCGCCAACGAACGCATTTTGCATAAATGAAATTCATTGCAAATTTCACCATCCACACAGTTCGAAAATGCCAGCAGCTGTGAATGAATAGAAATACACTCTGGACGGGACAGGCTATTAGGTAAATTTATGGGTGGGGGCAGAAATGGAGCAATGTCTAAAAAATAAAACGAATTTGCGGTATGCGCCAACAAATGTATTTTGCTTCGTTGTTTCGAATTGCATTTTTTCTTTTTCATTTTTAATAGGCCGCGCTATTAATTAATTAAAAACAACGTCAACAACAACAAATCATTATGAGTATCAAATGGCACCAAAACCAATTTGGGAATCTCTTGCCAATTAAAAATGAATGCACAAACATTAATTTTTCACGCTGTCAGTAGCGATTAGCATTTTTATCCACAATGCGTCTCGATAATAATGAGCGAATAGCATTGCTTGTTATTGATATCGTTTCGCAAACGCAGCAACAGAATCAACAACAAAAATTCAATAATGCTATACCATTGAAAAAAAGCAACAAACTGCTTATGTTAATTAAGTAGCGCCGCTTACGGCATTTTATAGCTTAGCTTTTGTCTCATTTTATTTGCATCTAATTAGTGTTGGCTATGGGACAGCCTGCTCTTCATAAATTTTTGTAGACATGTAAATAAAGCTGGCCATTGGTTTGCAAAACTTAAAGCAGTGTGTTTAACAAATTGCTTAATTTTGTTTGCAATATTTTCAATCGAAATTCGGTTGTTATACTCGTAGTCACACTAAGATTATTTGTATTATTGAACTGAGGTAAGCTACGTTTAATTATTATTATATGATTGGTTTAAAGTTGAACAGATTATTACCATATTTATATTGTCCATTTTCTTACAAAATTGGCAAATTGTGAAATATATACTAATTTCTAAGCATACAAATATTATTTTAGCTCACAAATCCGAAATTGATGCGTAGGGCATTCGAAATTCGTCACAATGAAATCAAATGTATAAGGCATTTATTGTGTAAATTATAATCATTAATTTATTTATTAATGTATTTATTCATTTATGTATAAAGACCAGTGACGAATTAAATTTCCATGCGAGGTAAAACACAAAAAGCCGTTTACAAAATGTATTGCATACCTTCGAGCGCATAGATATATATAAGTGGGGTATTGTGTGGTGTGCCTTCCAGTGCCCCCCAAACTGTTGATCGTAAGTACTTCTAAAATGAACTGCATTAACGAGCTTAACATTGACATAAGGAGTCATTACCATGAAAGCAAGGGTCTGGTTGTTGCTATTGTTGTTAATGTTGTTAGCTGGCGCAAAAATTTAAATCAATATAAATGCAATTAAGTTAATTACGAAACTGTGTATTTTAAAACCCTACACGCAGCTTAGTGATTGACGATAAATGTGCAATTAAGCAAATTATCCCAAAGGCGGGTAATGGCAACTTGAGCATGTGTGTGGGTATAAGAGAGAGAGTACGAAAGAGAGAGCGAAAAAGCAAGTGTCAAGCAACTGCGCTTTACTTGAAAGCAAACAAAAGTTAATTGCAAAATGCAGCCAGCAAAACGAGCGAACATAACTGTGTATACATGTGTGTGCATGTGTGTGCATGTGTGTGCATGTGTTTGCATGTGTGTGCATGTGTGTGCATATAATGATGGTAGCTGGGATACCCATCTGCACAAAAACTGGCCCAGCAGACAACCATTTATCGATAAATGATGGGAGCGAGGCTGAAGACGCAGGATGTGCGGCAGCCTGTAGGCACAAACGCATACATAAGTAGCTATTGTTGTTGTTTTGATTTAGCTTCTTCTTGCTGTTGCTATTGTTGTTGTTGTAAATAGCAAGCAAAACATGGGGGCGCATGCCATTAGCACAGCTTGCTTGTTCTTTTGCTGCCTGCCAGCCGTTTAGCTGCTTTAATGAAGTTTTTGCCGCAGCAATTTGGAGCACCAACTATGCGTATGCGTAATGCCAGAATTCTTGTTTCATATGCCACATACGAACCACCATATGTTTTTGGATGTATACACATATACAAGTATCGTACTCTAATACAAAAGAGCGAGCGAACAACTTTAGTGGCAACCTTCATCCGTCCTCGTGGCATTTCTTGCTGCCACTTTATAGTGCATAAATTATTCAATGGGCCACATTCCTCATGTATGTATGAATGTTGTGTGTGTGTGTGTGTGCGTCAGTTTGTTTATGTACGTGTGCATGTATGCGCAACAACAAAAAGTTGCTCTGTCAGTTATAACTTCATACGCGCCGCTATAGTTGTTCCTGTGGCAATAGTCCCCAACGAAAGGAGAAGTGAGCTAACCCGGTTTGAAATTTCTTGCCTGTTAACTTATTTGCGGTAAGTTGAGACACTTGTTAGTGTCCTGTCCTGGGGTCGCGGGCAATGACGAAAGATTTTACACTCGACTCGTGAATTGTTAATACAAATTAGTGGTACCCTGGGCAATTTACATACCCTGCGTCCGATAATTCAAGCAACCAAGCTTTCTACGCTGTACTCGTAGCTAGTGATGAAGATATACATAGAGTACTGTGATTTAAAGATTTCTTACTGAAGTTTATATTTTCCATTATCCATTTTGCAAGTAATGCAATGTATGTATAAAAAAAACAAAATGTTTCGAAAAGCAATATTGTAAGCTGTTTTATTCTTCAAGTAGTTTTCTGAATAAGTCGTGTCTTTCAATACGATCTGCGTTTTTATGTTCCGAAATCAAACTTGTGATATAAATAAAAAACCTTAAATATATTTAATTGTAATTTTGTAACCTAGTGACCTAGAGTCTTGCAGAGTGCCGTTACATAATTCATTTCAGTTCATACCATTTCCGAATGTAATTCTTTCGAATGAGTGTCTTTTTAGAGTTCATTCCCATTTTTTGAGTAACACATTAACACAGGCTTTGATTTTGGCCAGCATGGTGAAAATTACAAAGCTATCCAAGCCAAAAGTTTAGCTGGTAATCTTTAGATTGCGTATTCAGGCCATTCCCGCTGCTGCTGCTGTTGATGCTGTTGTTGCCTTGTTGCGGTTACTTGAACATCCTGCTTCCGATTTCAAGTTCCTTGTTTTGTTTTTATAAGAAATTCATGGCATTTGCACGTTGGACTCTGCCTCCACTTAAGTTGCTTTGCTTGTTCTTTGTTTTGGGCCATTGTGTGGGCGTTTGTGCGGAAAAGGTTTGCCCATCGCTTGGGCATTGGCATTTGACATGGCTCGTGGGTGTGGACTACAATGTTCTTGCGCTGTCTGTCTGACTGTCATAAATAGCAAAAGGGTTTTATGTTTGGCTTGGCCACCTTTCAAAGCCCCTCCCTTACATAATTTTGCCTGGCTTGGTTTGCGTTTCGAAACTAAATTAAGCTGCGGCTTTTGCGGTCTGGTCTCTGAGGGAGAAACACGTGCGTAGCGGTAGCCAAATACAAGACTTATCAATTAATTAAGCATATTTCTCAAATTATCGCCTCAAAATTCATACAACCTTCTGTCCATAGTCAAGTTTCTGATAACGCGGCCACACCTTCGCTATTCTTACTGGCATTTTGTCGCGCGTTGCATGTCTTTACGTTGTTAGCGATAAGTTTTGAATTGACTTCGTGAAAGTTGTTGAGCTGTCAATTGCTGTGTCAAAAGGTTAAAGTTCTATAATTGCATTGAAGCGAAATTTTCATAGTTAATGCCCAAGTATATATACTCGTATATGTATCTGTGTGCATCTCCTGTTCACATTTCCGCCTGATTTGCATTACCCGGGAAGTTTGTTCTGTTTTGAACTGAAGCATCCTGCCTTGACTGTCGTCGATGTTGCTTTCCCCGCTGTTGTTTCACAGCTCACAGTTGTGAAAAGTGCACTGCATAAGAAATTTTATTAAAATATCAACAGCAGCAGCAACGATCACGTGACTGCACTTCCCTTCTCCTGCTCACGCTCGTTCGATTCTCGCTGCTACTACTTTGGGTCGACAGCAGTGCTGTTGCTGCCACAGACACAGCAGCTGCTAGGTTGAGTCTCCGGTGAAAGCTGTCGAAGGCTTATGCGGATGATGTGCATTTGCTTTGAGTTTCCCCGTGCATTTGTTTGCGTTCTTAGTTAAACTAGCTTACTGCTCCTGCTGCTGTTATAGCAGCTGCTTTTGTTGTTGCTGCCGCTGGAGCAGTTACCGAAGTTTTGTGCTTTGCATGTTGCCTAATGGCAAGATGGTGCTGCTTCTCCGGCTGCTCCTGCCTGAACAACTGTTTGCTTTGTTGTGCGTGCGCATACCCTGCAAACATTCTGTAGCATACTTTCGGGCTGCAACATAAAATTGTTCGTCCACGCATGCACAGTTATAACGACCACACATACTCGTACTTGCTTACATTTTGTGAATATGCATGGGGCTGCTATAGGGCATGAAGGCTTCGTTATTGTGTGCCCGACCATTTGCATATTGGGCTCCATATTTACCCATTTTCTGCAGTCCCCCAAGCCGACCACTTTCGTTGGCATCGGAAGCACGTCTAAGCATAAATACAAACATATTCTGAATCACAGACACACATACACACAACAACAGTCTGTATGCACTAACTTTTTACCGACACCTTCCTTTATCTACTTATGGCTGCCTCCAGCAGCTTCTTCTGGTTGCTGCACAGTCTGCTTCCGTCGACATCTTGCACTTTAAACGAAATAATATTTAAATATCATTTGCTAAATTTTAAGGCATTTACTTGGCAATTTGCATAAGCTATTTCAATGCCGCATCATCAACAATAGCGTTGCAGTCGTCGCTATGCAAATATTTTAATTCTTGAAGTCTTTGTTTTAAATGAACGAAGTTAACATTTCACCCAAAGGGTGAAAGGCTATACTAGTTTTGTACGCATGAATGTAAAACACAGAAGGAGGCGTGGCAGACCCCACAAAGTATATATATTCTTGATCAGGATGAGAAGACGAGTCGATATATCCATGTCCGTCTGTCTGTCTGTCTGCCCGTCTGTCTGTATGAGCGCAAGGATCTCAGTAAGTACAAGAGCTATGATAACCAAAATTGGTATCAAGGTTCCTATAAGCCCTAGGCAGATCGAGTTTGTTTATTTTTTCTGATACACCCCCCCCCCCCACTCCCACGCAATTCGTGTTTTTATACCCTGTACCCGTAGGGTAAAAAGGGTATATTAGGTTTGTGCAATGTATGTAACATACAGAAGGAAGCATCTCCGACCCCATAAAGTACATATATTCTTGATCAGCATGACGAGAGAAATCGATCTAGACATGTCCGTCCGTCCGTCTGTCCGTCCGTCTGTCCGTCCGTCTGGATGAACGCGAGGATCTCAGAAACTATAAAAGCTAGAATAACCAAAGTTGGCATCCAGATTCTACTAGGTCCGAGTAAGGACGAGTTTATGTTTTTTTTTTTTAATTTTCCCCCCCTTCCCCCGCTACAGAATTTCGTCAATAGCGTCCACATTTCAAATGCTACCTAAACCAAACTTTGCACACATAATTAATATATAATTGTCTACTGTTGTTCAAAATTTTATTCAATTCGGTCAATTCTAAGAAGTTATTAGCAAAACAAATCCTCGCCAGTACAACCCCCACAAACTGCAGCAACAAGTTCGCTCTTCTTCTTCCTCTTTTTGCTGCTGCTATGGGCGCATATAACTCAGTGACGGAAGTTTACCTGGGTACAGGGTATTACACTGTCGGGCTTGCTCGACTGTAGCGTTCTCTCTTGTTTCTTATAACTTCCGTAATTCTCGGAATTTTGAAATCAATTATGGTAGGTACATCCAGTTAGTACTAATGTGTCCGTGTGCCAAATTTCATCATGATAGGTAAATTCTGAAGAAAGTTATAGCCATAAGTAAAATCGCTGCTCATGGTTCAACTTTGTGCTGCATACATACACGCATATAAACACGCATAGGTACGTGATGTAAATGTATGCTGTTTAAACTGAACATAAACATGTATTCTAATTTAATTTAATTAATTATTTTAATTAATTAATTCATTAATATTTTTTTTTAATTAAATTTAAAAAATTTTTTTTTTTTTAATTTTCCTTTTTGTGGAGAATACAGGCTATTTTACTGTCGGGCTTGCTCGACTGTAGCGTTCTATCTTGTTCTATTTGACTACTGTACAAAATCAGATTGTTGTAGTCATTTTAATTTAGATCTCCTAACACGCACATTTAATTAAGATGTGGGCACATTTTAATAAATCAAGCCAAACCATGAAATGCAATAAGGCGGCTGTCAAATGCAACAGCAGCGGCAACTGATGACCCATAAAGTGGTAACAAAATCAAATATCCAAAGCGTCTGTCTGCCTGCTTGTCTTACTAACTAACTGAATGACTGACTGACTGACTGGCTGACTGACTGACTGAGTGGCAGACCGACTGCTGCAAACTATTCAGACGACAAACAGTTGCCAGCAGCACATTCGAAATACGATATATTGAAGGGCATAAAACTTTATGGTCCGCAGTATTTGAACAAGTGCTTCGGCACGCACCATGACTGTAGCATGGTGTTGTGCATATGTACGTGTATGTGTGAGATGTGTGTGTTTATGTGTGATGGGTGTTGCCACAGGTAATTTCACTGTCATTTTGCATTTGTAATAAAGCAACACATCGTGACACACGTCGCTGTATAAAAGGAGCCAGCACGCCTGGCTTGGGTAATTACGTGGCAGCCGCCGACAATGCCATGCGCTCAATATTTGAGTGTGAGTGAGCGTCAAATATATACATACACGTATATAGTATATGTATGTATATGTAGGTTTGTGGAATATCTTACAAATCCAACTGGCAGAAGCAGGGCTCATTTATATGCCGCTCAGACTTCTTATCAAATATGAAACAAAGTCGTAACGGATAATTAGAGTTACAATGTGAAAGTGTGAGAGTGTGTATGTGTAGGTATATGTGTGTGAATGCGTGTGTGCGTAAAGTTCGCATTTGAATAATGCAAACTAAACAGCTTTTTCATCTGGCAGCTACGCGCGAAATCCATTAGAATATGAGGTAGTCAGCAGCCAATAAAACTTTAATTCAAATGGCGATGATAAAGACCTAAGTCTTGCACACTTGTAGCTGTGTCTGTGTACTCGTATGGTGGTGTGTGTTGCTACTGATGTAGCTGCTGTGCGTGCGTTGCATGTGCAAAAAGCTCTATTGTTTAGCTTTCATTTGGTGGGGGCGTTTTAGCACATCAATCATAAAATGCAAATATTTACGATTCTGTTTATGTGCGAATCGATGGGCTGCCTGCTCTCACAATTCGCACATTTAACAACCACGCAGAATCACACATACACCCAATTTCGCAGCTTTTACGATGCCGGGACAAAATTAAAAGGTTTGGATGTAAGGCGTGTAAGGCATGAAGAAACAATCCATAATTTTTATTTTATTTCTCTTTCCAATGATATTAGGTTTAGTTCCCTCTTATGGGTCAATAATGCAAGATACCTGCTGTTTCTGATCATTTTATTTCCTAATGTTAATTGAATTTATCTTTTTTTTTTTTGCTTTGCAGAAACTCATCCAACCGCAAATACCGGCGGCACATTAACGAGAATGCGCTTGGCATTATTCGAAGCACACTGAATAGTGGCGGATTTGGACCACAGCCGCCGAATATGAATAAAGAGCTGGGCATACCACCTAATGCCGGACCCATGAATCAGTTGGCGGCCGGCTATCAACGTCCGTTGTCACATCCAGGTGGTGGCAGTGGTGTGGCTGCTGCCGCAGCAGCTGTGACGGCAGCGCAACAGGAAAAGGGGATGTTCAGCATTAGTCAGCTGAACATTGACCTTACCGAGCAGCATGTGGACCCCAATGGACGCATGGAGATCACCTGTCTGTCCACAATACCCTCAGCAGTAGGACAGGGTGAGCAGTATGCCGATTACAAAACGTTCTCGGTGAAAGGTAAGTGAGAAATAGAGCGCCCACCGTAGCGTATGCGCAATATGTATTTATTTTGCCCTACGTGTAATGCTATGCAAGAATAATATTTGTTTTAGGGGGCACAGTCCTAATATGGTTAAAAAACAACCACAGCAACAGAAACAGCACCAACCACAGCCCACGCACATGCTACTACGCTCCATAAAATGAGCTCATCAAAAATGTTGTTTGCATGCCCACCAATGCGAAATGTGAATTATGAAATGTACGAGTATGTATGTAGGAAAGAATCTCTGTCGCATTTGATGGGCTCTCTCCGGCCTTACTTTCACTGGTTGTCGCTGTTGCCGTTATTGTTGTTGCTGCTGTTAATGTTGTTGTTCTTGCCAGTCATTTTCACAAAATAAATTAGCATGATAATGCTGCTGGGTTATCCACAAAACTTTGGCATGGCCCTGGGCGCCATTGTCCCATTTTTCCCATTTCCCATTTCTGCTGGTGCTCCTGCTGGTGATGTTGCTGTTATTGTTTTCGTGATGATTCTTCTGAAGCCTAGTCAGTTGCAAGGACATAAAGAAGATGATGGTGAAGTCAAAGCAAACATAGCTGTACCTTTTGGTGTCGCTGTTGTTGTTATTGTTGTTGCTCTCACAGTCGCCTTTCCCTGGCAGTTTGAAACGCGCTGTAATTTATATTTGTGTCGCTGCCAGTGCCAGAGTTATGTGTATCAGCATGGGCGTAGCCAGGATTTAGTCCAGGGGCAGCAAGATTTTTTTGGCAGAATTTTTTCTATCTTATTATTTGCACTATACAAAAAACACATGAAAAATATGGAAAAATAGGGAAAAATGAAATTCAAGATAATGCAAATTTGAAATTTCCAATGCAATAAAATGTAAATAAACTTGCTAAAAAATAAGATTTGTGATCGTGGAACTAATATAAAGTTCACCCGTGCGACATCGAGAGTGTACAATTTAACAATTTGAAATTATGTTTTCTTACACAAATGATAAATTTTTGTATACCTACGTGTACATACTTTAAAATTATTGAAATCTAGATGAATTATACCGGCGGCAAAAATAATAAAAAGGCGTGCAAACGGAGAGAAAAATATGTGATTTTTCTAATGAGTGCTGCTCTCAGTTTGAAAATCAATTTATAGTATCAAGTCTAGTTAATTTCCTAAAAAGAATTCGTATTCTTCTCAGTTGAATAGCATTGTTTTACAAGTTAACATGGAATGGGAGCCGTATCTGGGGTCGGGGCAGTTATCAAAAGAAAGTTATGGCAGATAAAGAAATCTCAAATTATTTTGTTTCGACAGTTCAGAACTGAAACTGCATTTTCTGAACTGTTAAACCAAAACTATTTTTAAGAGATAATAATGCACAACGTTCTAAAATTAGTTGGATTAATATATATTGCCTCGATAAAACCAGCGAACTGATGGCAGCAAAAACAACTTATTTGCCACGTTTGTCCCGTTGTCCAAAATCAACCTTAAAACCAAATATAGGGCTAGTTAAGAGTTATATGTTGAGCATATTAACACAATGTTTTCATGCCCATATATACTTATATAGGTATATATTTTCAACATTATATCTTCACAGCAATCTAGTTGATAAATTTACCGTAGCCATAAAATGTATTTTTTTTTTTTTTGAGATTTTTTTACAATGCGGCACAAATTCCAAATTTTTGTTCCGTTCAGAATCTAGGGGGGGGAGGGGGGGGGGGAGAGAGAGAGAGAGAGAGAGGGGCAGTTGCCCGCTTTGCACCCCCCTCACTACAGCCATGTGTATCAATGTGCTTCTGTGTCGAGACGCTGCTGCCTGAGTGTATCACGTCTATTCTGTTTGCCTACGTTTAATTTCCATTTACTCAGTCCACCGACGCGTCGGTCGTGCAAAAGGTTAATTTATATCCTATTTGCTGTGCTTTGTTGCCCACATTGTGCCAGTTTGCACTTGCGTCGTTTACTGGCCAGTTCCAGGACTTTATCAGGAATGGTGGTGCGGCAGCTGTAAATTGTCTTAAATTATATGAAATAATTTGCACATTTGCAACCTGACATCACTAGCAGCACTGCTTCTGGCTATGGGCTGTCATTTGCCCCCGACACTTAACCATAGGGCGAATGCGTGTAATTTATTGTACGCAGCTCAGGGTCGCTTAGGTGGCCACTTCACATACGTGGTACGGCAAATGGCATCAGTAACAGCAACTACAATTCTAAGAATATTTTGTCAGCCCTAATTGTTTCTTATGTGTTTGGCAAGTTCTCTGAAATTAGCTTTCGTGTGCGCCCAAAAGTTGCCAAAAGTGGCCAAGTATGCTCTCAAGCAGTATAGCAATGAGAAAAAGTAGAGTAAAGTTGAGTAAAGAAATGTGAGTTCAAGAGTGCACTTTGCAGCTTCATATAAAATGAAGGAATATCTGATACGTACATCATTATGCAATGCTTTTAATTTAAATGTTAGGATTGTTCATTACAAATGTAATAAACTGATACAAAAAGTTTGATATTGATAGGCAAATAGCATAATATTGATTATTGTATGTATAAGAGATGCCAATAGAATGTCAACTAAGTATTCTATAGTTAGATGAAGTCCTGCTAATTAGCTTTGAATAATTATATAACCTGTTTATAAATTGCGAATTTGTTTCATGATGGCTGGATGATGCAACCATTCACTGTCCCTGCCTCGGCTTTCCAGGAGAAGATCAGAAAAGCTTTTCCTCCACACACTTCCACTTACCCATCCGCCACAGTCGTCAAACTACCTTTTATTTTTGACTTTTTAAAGCATCGCCAATAATGTGTTTGCGTCTGTGTGTGTCTGTATTTCCATTTGCAGTTGAAGTTGAGCGACAGCAGGCATCCTCCACATCCACGGCTCCGCCCAGCATCGGCATGGCGGCACTCGGCAATGGCAACGGACACGGCAACGAGACCTCCGCAGGCTGGCGTGCGCGCGGAGCGATGTTAACGCACATGTGGTCGTTGGCGCAGCTGTTGCTGTTTGTGCTGCTTACGCTGGGCTACTAAAACGGGAGGGCAGGACGGGCGGAAGAAGCTGCCAACAGTGAGAGTACACCACCGACACAATAACAAAAAAAGGTATAGCACAAAAAAAAACAACCAAAAAAAGAGGAAGGCAACAAGTTTGTTTTTTTATACATTGTACACCACATTTAATTTATTTCAACGACATGCGCGCAATCGAGCAAGAAAATTAGCACAAACCAAAACAAAATAATGAGAGCAAGACAGAAATAAACAAAAGCGAAAGGAACAAAGAAAAACCAAGGCAGAATGAAAGAGAAGAGAAACAATCCGACATACTATATAAATAAAAGTAATAATAATAAAAGAAAACGACTGTAAAAAAGCGCCCGATGTGGTGCGCAAGTTTGTGCACATAAAACAATAATTTTTTCGCCCACTCCGCCGCCCATCCACATAGGGTCGATAAGTTTGGGGTTGGGCGCTGCTTTTTGGAATCCAATTTAAATAGTTTACTTGTAAATAATTGTAAATGAGAGCGACTGGCTAGGTACGAGTAGTGGGAGCAATTTCGCTCCTATGCACTTTTTTGTGGCCGCAATGCAAAGTAAATGTTTGTAATTAAGTTGCAGCCGAATAGAAACAAGCCAAAAAGTTTCATTTGGCATTTCAGTCAGAATTGTTGTATAGCTAATTGAACATGGGATTTTGGAACGGGGCGGCGAGGGCTTAAGGCAGTAAACGGCACTACAACAAATACATATTGTGTACTTGAGAACTAAGTATATATTAGGAAACTGTGTGGTATAATTTTTATCAGTGGAATCGAGTGGAATTATAGTTGATTTGGTTCCTCGATAATGCTTGGGCTACCATGAGAGCATTCTCCATATGCCGCCATAAGATAAAGAACAACAAAACAAATCTTTAGAGTTTATATTTAAGGCGTTTTAAAGCAGCAGTCATACAGCTTCGGGCCAAAGTACCTAACAGAATTAAATAAATAAAATTAAATGCGAAAACATAAAAAACACAAACGAAATATTTTTTATGGTTTTGTAGCGCTGGAGCCAGCTAGGCAATGGACAAAGACATAGGGTGTTAGAGTATCCTAGGCTAAGTGTGTACAAAAGAAAATTACAAAAAAAAAAACACAAAAAACGAAACAATGAATTTAAGCGCTAGCAACCAAAAAAGAAAACCTTACCTAACCACCACCAAGACATAAAAAGGAAAATGGAAGAGAGTAAATTAAACGTTTAAATGTAATATAATTAGACAGTTAAACCAAGAAGCTTAAAAATACAATCAGTGTTGAAAACAAAACAAGAGACAAGCAAATGGAAGAAGTGGGCGCAGACTGCACGTCTCGAAATGGCCACCTTTAATGGGTTAACCCTAAGCTTCTGGGTCGACCGCGCGCACCCCTGTCCTACACGTTTCTTTCTTTTCCAGATAGAAGGTAGGCAGGCGCGTCCGGAGGGACCGGAACTTCTTCTTATTTATTTGTTCTCATTTCGTTCCTTATTTTTCTTTATATAAATGGCCGTGGTCGCATTGTAGTAGTGAGGACCTTGCCCCTCTCCTAGGGGGTAGCGTTTAAAAAGTAGTTAGGAAAATATTTGCCATTGCTTCTCAGCATTTGGTTCGAGCGGACGCGTTTTAATACCTAAGTACATAGGCAACGTAAGGATACATATGTAGATGTAAGTGCGTACACAATATATACATACACTAAATTATATTTAGTAAATGATTTTTCAAAATGCTTTGAGTGTCTATTGGTGTGGTAACTACTAAACAACATATATAGTATATAGTATATATATATATATATATATATATGCTAGCCTGCTGTCACCGTTTAAATAGCAACTAAAACCTAGCACCCCGGCAAAGTAAATACGTGTAAAGCAATTAGCAACTACTTAGAATCTACATATATAATCGATTGATATCTATAAATATACAAATATGTATGTCTAGTATATCGGTGTGCATCAGTGTGCGTGTTAGTGTATTTCATAGACAGCGATTTCCAATTGAAATACACCAACAACATACGAAATCACAATCACATATACGTATGCTCGTATATCGATAATCCGTAATCCTACAAACGTTTTCCTACAGTTTAAAGAAACAGTTAAATAGTACGAGTAAATATATAGTTAGTCAAACATTTGTGACGGTTGTTCAAAGCATTAGTTAAACAAAATGAGAGATATTGTAATTTTTAGTTCAGAATCCAGAATCCAGAAGGAATACAAAATAAATGTAGCGAACACAAATACATAAATACTTAAAGCTTAAATAAACTATAACATTTTTATAACAAATATTGTATGTAAAATGTATAAAGAAAAAACAAAACAGAAAAATGTAAAACAAAGTACATATTATATAAATGAATATGGCTAAAATGTCTTATGCAGGTATTGACGTCTTCCTATGCTACGCTGTCTATTATTAACTGAACGAGTAACATAATTAAATTAAATTTATAAATTATACAATTATTGAAATACTTAGATTTAAAAAAAAAAAAAATACATACACATATTGTACGTGTATGTTATAAACGTAAAAATTCAACAAGAATGGGTAACAAGAAATTTTTTAAAATCTATGAAACTCGGAAATTTACACTAGAAACTTAAGATTGATTATTTCTTAAGTCTAAACATTTGACAATTATTTTATACTCGACTTCTTATAGTTTAGTTTTGTGCTTCACTGGATCTGTTCCAAGACCCCACATTATTCTTACCAATGCATTTATATAAATCTAATTGTATTCATATGTTGTTGGAAGCAATGTTTATAGAAAATCAGCGAAGATTTAAGTCTAATGTACAGAAATCCTTAGCTTGTTGATCACATAAGCACACAAAGGGTACATAAACGTTCATCTCGTGAACATTTGATCATTCATGTTCGTTGCTGTAAAAGTGTATACCTATGTCTCGACAAACTATAGAATATTTGTAGTATTTGTGGTATTAGGAAACTTTCCCACGTCTTTTTTTGTTAAGCACCATTTCCACAAGAAACAAAATGCCAGCGAAACGAGGGATTACTCGTATATGGAGAAAAGGAAAACATTTTCTGTAAGTATGTTCCTTGGTGGTTTCCATAATCATCTGAAAGCGTTTGTGATTCCAGCAAAGCAAATATGTAAATCACATTTTAATAAGTTGCTAGGGCGAGCATTTTAATGGAGAAATAAAATGGAATACTGAAATAAAGAGCTGAAAGCGACTTGTTGAATTTTCTACGAAATATTTTTCTTCAAAATAAATAGTTATTTAAAAAAAAATAAGATGCAGAGACAAACCTTTTGCTGATTTAAGAGATATTTAAACTTACCCAATATTTCAAGTATGTTTGGACTGCAGGCATGTCAAAAAGACATCCGGATACTTTGTTTATTTCAACAAGAGAGAACGCTACAGTCGAGCAAGCCCGACAGTATAATACCCTGTACCCAGGTAAACTTCCGTCACTGAGTTATATGCGCCCACCAGCAAAAAGTGGAAGAAGAAGAGCGAACTTGTTGCTGCAGTTTGTGGGGGTTGCACTGGAGAGAATTTGTTTCACTAATAACTTTTCTTATAATTGACCGAATTTAATTGAACAACAGTAGATAATTATAAATAAATCATGTGTGCAAAGTTTGGTTTAGGTAGCATTCGAAATGTGGACGCTATTGACAAAATTCTGTGACGGGGGAAATTAAAAAAAATAAATAAACTCGTCCTTGCTCGTATGTACAAATTATTGAAGCTTTATCACAATTTGTTTGATGTTTAATATGCAGATAGAAGCCATTGGATGATTTCGTTTGGCTGCATTTTTTTTTATTGAAAACTATGACTTACCAACAACATAATGAAATACCTAGATATATATACTTTTATCAATCGTGTTCATTGAATTACAAATCCAAAACAGCTTGGTAAGGTCACTTCATCTCTTACATGTAGTTTAATTGAAAAAAGGGAACAGATCCTACCGCTTCTGACAGACTTTTTGCTTAATCTTTCATCCATTAAACTGCTTTTTTTTAACAGCAAATTCTCATTTTAATATCAAATTGAAACACATACACAAGCAACTCTCATATTCCATTCATAGTCAAGATTTCAAAGTATCTGTGTGCTGTCTCTCCTTATCTCTCCAATTCTGTTGTCTGTTGTCCCAATACTCAGAAATGGGTACTTTTCTGTGCGTTATATGTCGGGCCTAATGCAAATTATATGCCTCACTAAATATTGAGTGGATTACTCGAAGGCATATGCATTAGACGCCTTGCGCGGCGCCGCCATTCCATTGTGTCGGCGCACTATTTCGAGCATATTATAATGTGAACACTTATACAAATACAAATGAATATGTGTATATTTATGTACTCAAATGAAATGCAAACAAACACAAGCACTAAGCGAAAGATTAATGAAATGGAACTACATTAAGATTCACAGCAATACACAAACATATCATAAATGTTGTAAAATTTTCTGTGTTAAAGCGATTAAAACTGAATACAAATATGGAAGTAAATGAGGAAATCAATCCAAAAAGAATAAAAAAACGATTGAAATTAGTTTCTGTCAGGTGCAGAAATTATGTAAATTTATGGTCAGAATTGTAGTCAAAGACCGCAATAAGCAAAAATGAGAGAAAAACGAAATGTCAATTGCTATTAAATGCGGCAACCGATAACATTTAACCTATTAACGATTCCCACAGCGAGGGCAACACAATTAACATTTATTAAATTTGCAAATTTAATTGTTTGTCGGCGCGTTTCTGTTTCAAATAAAACAATACAAAATTCCACATTACAAAAACAGTAGTGAACACGATCCCATGTCTGTCCATGGGCGTGAACTCAACAAAAGTAAATTGAAACTGACACGCCATTGTATGAGTGTAACAAATACCAACCTTTGCATATAAAGTGTAATATTATTGAGAGTCTACTATATACAAAAGCGCATACACATATATGTAATATATGTATATTTTAAATGTTGTGTTTTGATAAGTCAAGTGTGTGTAAAATGATA